GTAAAAGTACTTTTACTTCTACTTTCCTAATTTTGGTGAACAGTTTTATGAATTTTACTTGAGTAGTTTTCTCATCAGTGAAATTTAGTCATTTTCTGTTCATGTAATTTTACTTTTTTCAAGTACTTTTATAGACCTCTGGAAAAAGATGGACTTTGATGAAAAACAGAAATTGTCCCACAACACTTAAATGTTTAGAGCTCTTTCAACCCTTGATGTGCTAACTGGTTAGCATCTTGGGAACAAAACACTGTTCAGTTCGCCTCATTTATCCTCAAGGCACAATTGAAAAAAAAAAATCAGTAGCTTCTCCTGCTAGCAGTGTTTGTTCCTTTGGGATAGAGATGGTTAAATGGAGCTGGAGTTGTTAWATGAACCTTCACTGTTTAATAAAAGCAGCACAGCTTGAAAGGTCCAGATCTAGACCCTGTGGTTGCTAACAATGTTTCATGCTCCGTTAACCGCTCTTTCTTAATTTGAACACAGTGATTCATYGCTTTGTCATAAGATTTAATWGTCACAGTTGTTAAAGAAATGAGAAGCGGCTGACTACACCGATTAGCTGAAATGTGATGATCACTGCAGGACCATTCGCTCGGTTAAATCAACGTGGTGATTTTTTAAAAGTCAGGTAATGTATTTAGCGGTTTTTTTCTTAGAAATGTTGATTGGTTGTCACATATACCTCGTCCAGATGAGTTTTCACACTGCAGTCCCTGAAAGCCTCCTGTAGGCATGCCCTCCAGCAGCATGGAGGACAGCTTCTGGTCCAGTTTGTCCACAGAAGAAACCTGAAGAGCCTGAAACACAGAGACAATTTCAAATGTTTTTTTTGTGTGATGCTGAAAGGAAACAGAAACTTTTTCTTTTAGGGCCCTAAAGTTAGAGAGATTAAATCTCAGCATAAAAAAGTGGTAGTGATATTGGAAATCTATATGGAGACACAATAAAAACGCCAGCTTTCATTTAGCCGTRCAAGCATCAAACTTCTGCCTCGTCGGTCCTCCTCACTTTTTTCAGTTTGTAAACTCTACAGACCAATTCGTCCTCAGGCGTGGCTCGACTTTGCTTCTTCAGCAAACCCGACCTAATCAAATCAAGCATTCGTTATGGAGAGACGGATGAAACCTCCTGTCCCCCTGTCGGTTTGAGAAAAAAATAAATAAAAAATACAGTGACTCGGATAAAACATCAGCAGAAATGTGCTGATTGTTGGTCCTCTAATGGCTTGTTGTTAATTTGTGACGGTGATGAATTAGTTTCTGCAGTCGACTTATGCAATGAGATACCAAATAATATGTTAAAGTGCCTTTTTACTTTTTATTGAGAAGATAGAGAAATAAAAGCAGCCGTGAAACTGCTTTTCTGCGTGACCAAGCTGAAAAAACGGCTGCAGCTGTTTGAATATTTGTGTAACTCAGCGCTTCATCTTTCTATGTAAACAGTGTTACTTTTATTTTCTATTATTCCGTGAAAGAAAATAAACTGGAAATTCAAACATAATGCTTGTTTAGCTAATTCAGTGGCTGGTATGTTTTACAGTCTCTAATAAAAATATTTCACTTTACTCTGTTTTTGTTATATTAGGTCTTTTTTTCTGTTTTCAAATATCAGGACTCRCAATAAGCTGATGTTTGAAGCCACAGTTTAGTTTTGTAAACATCACTATCCTACCTGCTGTAGATGGTGCTTTGAGCCAGGGGGYGTGGCTATGGGTGGGCGTAGCTCCATTTAGGTCCACCCATTCAGTTAACTTATTTATCTACTTCTAGCTTTACATTCTACTGAGCCTCTGAGGGGACATTGGGGGAATTTTTTTCTTTTACGTTACCTTGTAATGGTTAATTACCGTGCCTGCTGGTTTATTAAATAATAAATAAACATGCGCACAATTTTACAAGTTATTAATTTTGTTCAGCTTCCGTATAAACAGATCACAGCCACACRTGGAGTTATATTTAATATATTGAAAGTGCCTGTGACATCAATTTSTTATAATAYRKATGAATGTATTTTYGGAAATATAACATTGATAACATATTGTAAAAAAGATTTCATRYCRCTGAGATGAACAGTTGTTGAGATATTTGCATGTGAAGAAGCAGGAAGTGATGTCAAAGGGGAAAGTCTGCATGTGAACAGAGCTTTGCTAAAATGGCTAACAACACAGACTGTAGAGAAGAATCTGATGTTTCTTTAGATTATTTTAATAACTATCAGAGAGAGATGAGAAAGAGTCATAGTTCAAATAACATTGTTTCAATAAAGAAAAACCAGGGGGGTTTTCTTTCTCAAAGAGTTCCCCTTTGATGTCACTTCCTGTTTCATTTTAGCTGAGCAAAGAAGAAAAAAGAAAATATGCCAATTATGTGACATAATGGGTCAAATCATGTGTTTTATGCCAAGTTTCTTAAATTTAAATATATTTTCTTTAACTTTTTGTATTTCGTGGATATGCATGTCACAAGCACTTTAACATTATGCAGCTAAAAGTATCACTGTCAACTTCCCTAACTTATAATAACACATCCTGATTTGGTAACCACATATTTCAAAATAAAAGTCTTAATTCAGTGCAGTCAATGAAAACCATCACAATTACCTCAAGAAGGCAAAACCTTTGTGTGGGAACGCAAAACAAAAACTCCTGCTGGAGTGTGACATGATTTGTTTGTGTACAAACTAACCATGTCACACTCCAGCAGGACATTTAGGTCTGCGAAAATGGTTAACATGAGGGATCAGGGTTATTGGTTAACTTTAGGGTCAGGTGGGGGGGGG